TACCTGTATTATATTATGCAAGTCATCCATTCTGCCTATCTCTTATCGTCGAGTTTATTCCAACGCGACCATGCATGCCGCCAGTTTTTTTCTAAATTGCAGCCAGTTGTTGATGTCCAGCTATCACCTACATGTAGTATTCGAATCACGAGGACGTGATTGTATTTGAGAGGGGAGGTGTAGCGTTGGCACGCTGGTGACTTCAAAGCGTATAGCGTAAAGTGTTTAGAGTATAGCATATCCCCGTACTGTATCCCCATACATTAGCGTATCCCCGTACATTAGCACACGAAGTCTGCCTGTGCATTAAAGCTGCTGTTCACGATTCTTTTGAGCAAGTTAATTTCATTGCCAGTTATAGTTACATTTCGATTGCCAGTTACAGTGTGTTCACTGAGACCCTTGTGTATTCTTGCCTCCGAGAGACTGCGGCCAGATACACATGCACCATGTACACCTACAATTCCTGCACTGATGTGTAGATCTACCATGCAGCCTGGTGCACCATGGAATGCGTACATTTACATCACTAGCACTGTGCAACGCGGTCGCGGGTGGGTGGTCGTCGGTCGCGTTGAGCGAGTGGTCGCCTTGTCCGAGGTGTTTTGAATGTGAATGCGTCCGTGAAAAGGAAAAGTGGTGGCCATGGTCGAGTGGTCGCCATATCCGAGTGGTCGGTTTTACTGTATGGCCACAGGCAGCAACGCTCCTGTTATACATCAGGAACAAGGCTCTACCTTCCTGTTCCACGATCCTGCTGATCAAACACCGATTTGCGTGCAAAGATCAAGCCCGTGCGTGTAAATACAAACAGCTTCAAGGACCTTCAACTGCTGAACGTAACGGGCACAGCACATTTTGATTTTGCATGTCATACTATACAAAATATGGATTCATACTCAGTATACATTTTTATAGGGGCTTTGCGAGTACGGACACTTCACGAGTAACGACATAATTCTGAGGTCGGCCAGAGAGCGCAATTGGTGGAGGTCGAACTGCTTAATTGATTAACAGGCCAAGAGCTGCTGCTTATCCTTTCAGTACAATAGAAATGCTCCTAAAACCAGTTCACTGCGCCATGTATCATCATCAAGTTAGGCTGTGTGATGGTTGAATACTGTAAAAGCCATAATATTTAACAAAGTGCTAACTCTAACGAGTTCACGAGGAGAAATCTGTCGTTAAATTAGAAATCGGTATGCAGAAATCGATACATATACTGTCCTATTGAGCGTTGAGAATGAGTGAGATTCGTTACCTTTGGTACACGTAAACTAGACAATTTTGGGAGATCGTTACATATGCGCCTCGTTAGAATAATGGGCTTTTATAGTACGTAGTATTGAATATTGCAACGAAGAAAAGACAAGACGACTCGTCAAAACCAAAAGGAAAGGCTGAACAGCAACAAGACACAGGGAAGTAAACACACTAATGTATCGTTACTCCCTAACCAAGATTGCGCATCTTCATACTCTCAAACCCTTCGCTCGACATCTGCTCAGGTTTGTCCTCGTTGCTGGCGAGATCAGCGGACGACGAGTAAGCGTAGCGGCTGTTGTCCTCCGATGGCCTCCACAGCACCATCATGAAGAGCAGCAGGAAGCTGAAGAGAATGTGCCAGAAGCCATTCAGCAGCCAGATATGTTGCCAGTCCTTGATGCAGGCCGAGGAGCGGAACTGCAAGTACGACCACATGCTGAACGCCACGGAAGCGACCGCGGCGAAGATGATGGCGATGGAGAAGTACCGGTGGAGTGAGAGCTTGACTGTGTTGTGAAGCAGGCGCAGTATTCGCATCGTGTACTTGATCGACTTGTAGATGAAGGTGATAATATAGGCGTCGAGCAGAACGACCGCCAGCGATATCACCTGTCCCTCGGTGGTGGCGACCTCCTCGGAGCTGGCCACGGCGCGCAAAATACCCTCGACCGACGCGGCCATGAAGTACAGAATACCGATGCCGACAACGGGGACGAGTTTGGAATCAAGTCCTTGCTGTACGATGCCAACGCCCAGCGAGATGATGATGACGAGAAGTCTGGCCAGTGTGCGCTTGCCCGCCGACACCATCTCAGCAGCGACGAGCAACGACATGCCCTCTCTGCCCTCGGCGTTACCACGGTAATACTCGCTGAAGAACAACACCTTCTCAACCAAACCCAGGGCAATGACTGCGCCAATCCACAACTGGACACGCAGCAAATCCTTGTAGTGGCACATGAGTGCAAGCAGCCAGCCGAACGCATACAGCGAGTACAGGGCGGTCATGATGCCATAGAAGACCAGATTGGGATAGTCGAGCGCAGACAGGTATCCCCAGCGGTTCTTCATCTCCACCTGTACAGCTACAGTGACGTTCAGAACACCACCGTTGGACACGGGGTCAGCTTGCGCGGCAAAGACCAGCGCGAACACCTGGCGCTTGGTCGTCTTGCACACCACCTCCTTCTTCACTTTCTTGTAGAACGGAGCGCTGCGCCGCGTGCGCGCTTGAAGAACGGCCTCCATCAGATCGCTCACACTCTTCGCAGGATCCAAACAGGTGTTGTGGTATGCGGTATCCTCCAGCCATGCTCTCTCGGGAGCGACCTCCGTGAACTGCAACGGATCGCCACTACCGGTCGTACTTGCTGTGCAATCCAGAGGGATCTCCACCCACTCTGTCCCCACCACTGGATTGTAGCCAAAGTCTCCCTGAAGCACTATACTTTCTTCGAGTCTGTCTAAATAACTGGCACACTGCGTTATGAGTAGTCTGTATTTCAAATGAACTGTTGCCGCACCTACCGAGTGGCATGCGCCCTTGAAGTCGATGGTGGCGTTCTCCGACAGTGTCAGCGTCATCCATTTCACAGAGACATTGTATGGATTAACCAGTTCAAGGCTCAGGTCTTTTATTCCAGGTTTGGGGAACGCCAAGCAGATCTGCAACGATGAAAACAACACCGTCAGAACAGCTAATAGCTTGTTCGGAGCCATTGTACCAGGCGCATCCACCAGCAAGAACTCCCAATTAGTCTGAGTCACGAGCCAACTCAAACTAATACAAATTACTTGAGTCAAAGTGGCTTGGACTACCCTGGCCTGAAAAATTTAGAAAATGCAAGGCCTTTCTCTTCAAAGAAGTATGTTCAATGCGCTTAGAATAGTATTAGTTAGATTTTTGTACAGGTTGTAGACTACCCAGTCGCTATCGAACCGATCCAGCCTGAGCCAGCATCAGTGAGCCCTGCATCATGTACATAGATCTACGCGTATTGACAACCAGTACTAGATCTACGCCAGTACATGTAGTAGATCTGCCAGTCTCAGTGCTAGCTGCCAAACAACTGCCACCATGGTGTCGGTGTGGCACTGAGTCTGTTTTTTTGGGTCTGTTTTGGGTAGATGTACCTACTACCGGTCTTACCTGATCACCGGTACTTCGACTTCTGATTTTCCGTACTCGTAATACCATGAATACATGTAGTACAATCATGTCATGTATCTTGCAATTTATTTGCGTGATACCAATGGCATGCTCTGTCATGTCGTCGTCTGCTTTCATCGTGTTTTTGACACACACAGACTCCGGCCGTCAGTGATAGGCTGCTAACGCACTACGAGTAGTACCACTGCACTAGGCCATAGCCTACTTGAACTACTAACTCTAGTACTCTGTCTTGTTGGGCACGTCGCCGTCGCGGCTAGCTAGTGCAAACCGTGTGTCACTTGTACATCTACCACGATCACGTGATTTTTGTCCTACATCGTACAATATCATTTAATATTACTAAATATTAGACATGGTTACAGGTTAGCATTTTACCGTTCACGCTATTTTCGACGGTCGGCCTGCACCGTTTTTTGTGTGTACGTGTGTAGACATGGCATTTTACCTTTCACGCGCTAGATCCAAAGGTGCTCGTACCCAACACCCAAAATACCGTCGGTTTGGTACCGTTTCGACGATAGAAAGCTCTGTTTAGCGGGAGAACGAAACGGTAAGATTCCAACTAGGGTTACCTCACACGTCTATCGTTGCGTAAGGAGTGAGGACTCAGAAGCCGAACTGCTAACCGTGCCTCGAAAACACACAAAAAACAGTAGACTCGCCCTCTACACCACTGTACACTCCGACCGTCGAAAATAGCGTGAACGGTAAAATGCTAACATTAGTATGTCTACTACAGAATCTTGTACGCGTAACGACGTAGTAGTGCGGACCGAAACGATGAGTCATGGATAGGCCTTTGCGGATAATACTTCGGCAGAAAAATTGGCAGAATTCGGTACTTTTTCGGGTAAGTAATAGTTTCATGCATGTTTGGTACATTGTATGTTGATAAAGAAATGGAGCAGAATTCGAGGAATTGCACGCCAAGACCTCGACACATCTTAAAGGGGAAGTATACCCTAAAATCAAATTTTCACCAGTTGTAGTCTTCGGGGTGCTGGGTCGAATGGTCTTGGTCCGAGGAAGCTGAGACGCTCCCTTCCTACTTGAATCCCAATCGAACTCGCGCACTTCCACCGAAACTGGGTGACTGCGCCCTACTAGATGGGGATTTGTATGCAAAACGTCACTAAAAGCGCCATTTCGTTCTTATAAAAGCACGGATGACCGCGATTGGCCCATATGTTGTAGTCTTTTGGACGCTGAGTCGACTGGTTTTGGTCCGAAAAGGCTGCGATGCAGCGTTCCTCCTTTATTCCCAATCGAACATGGTTGAACAAGCGGTCACGTGCTCCTGCGTACACCAGTCACCTGGTCACCGTGCCTGCAGGGTACAACTTACTAGCCTGTTTGACCTTTTTTGGGTGCAGTCCTGTCACTCGAGTTGAACTCAAGTTGAACCTTGGTGTGAAAGTTGTCGCCTGCTGGCGCGGTGACCAGGTGATTTGGGCAACCAGGACCACGTGACCGCTTCCTCAACCATGTTCGATTGGGAATAAAGGAGGAACGCTGCATCGCAGCCTTTTCGGACTAAAACCAGTCGACTGAGCGTCCAAAAGACTACAACATATGGGCCAATCGCGGTCATCCGTGCTTTTATAAGAACGAAATGGCGCTTTTAGTGACATTTTGCATACAAATCCCATCTAGTAGGGCGCAGTCACCCAGTTTCGGTGGAAGTGCGCGAGTTCGATTGGGATTCAAGTAGGAAGGGAGCGTCGCAGCTTCCTCGGACCAAGACCATTCGACTCAGCACCCCGAAGACTACAACTGGTGAAAATTTGATTTTAGGGTATACTTCCCCTTTAAATGATGCACTGTACACGAGATGCAAACCTCACCCCCTCAGCATCACCATCAACCACCAGCGCATGGCTCTACTTGGTCACGTGCTCCGATTGCCCGCCAACACCCACGCTCAGCTCGCCATGGTATTATGTGTCCAGCAAGTGACGAATCCCAGTGCAGAGCGTTTTCTGGGTCCGGGTGGCCCTCGCACCACTCTAGCGACAACTGTCATTGCTGACCAAAAGGGATAATTATGGTCTATGCCTGTGTGCATGTGCCCGTTTGGCCATGTGTCTGTGTTTGCGTTTGCTTTCTTTCAGCCATTCCGCTGGTATCTACTCTTCCACCAGTGCAAGCTCTCTCTCTCTCTCTCTCTCTCTCTCTCTCTCTCTCTCTCTCTCTCTCTCTCTCTCTCTCTCTCTCTCTCTCTCTCTCTCTCTCTCTCTCTCTCTCTCTCTCTCTCTCTCTCTCTCTCTCTCTCTCTCTCTCTCTCTCTCTCTCTCTCTCTCTCTCTCTCTCTCTCTCTCTCTCTCTCTCTCTCTCTCTCTCTCTCTCTCTCTCTCTCTCTCTCTCTCTCTCTCTCTCTCTCTCTCTCTCTCTCTCTCTCTCTCTCTCTCTCTCTCTCTCTCTCTCTCTCTCTCTCTCTCTCTCTCTCTCTCTCTCTCTCTCTCTCTCTCTCTCTCTCTCTCTCTCTCTCTCTCTCTCTCTCTCTCTCTCTCTCTCTCTCTCTCTCTCTCTCTCTCTCTCTCTCTCTCTCTCTCTCTCTCTCTCTCTCTCCAGTAGTATAGGGGGAGGGGGTTCTGGCTCACCTTCCAGGTGAGCCAAAATCGACTTTGTCGATCGGCCCTTCGGGCCTCCCTCCAAAGTCTCCCCCTCCCCCTATACTACTATAGTACTAATTTTACAACTCCAACCACTGATCCCATGTTGGCTCAACCCCGTTCCAGAAAAGTGAGTCAACTTGCTGTCTCCGAGAAAATCGGAAGTGAGCCAACTTCAGCTTTTTCATTTACCCCATCTTGGCTCACTTCGAGGACTGATGTGGGGTCGGTTTCTGAGCCAACTTCGGGTGGTTCAGCTTTGGATGAGGATTCACCACCATCAAGCGGTAACTCATACCCATTTTCCATCTCGTCATCAACAATATATTTCCCAACTTCTAGCTCTCGTGTTATCTTTTCAGCATACTCAACTGTTTCCTGTTTTAGTTTTGCTAAGGGATGGATCAATTCCGCATTTATCTTTTCATCATACTCAATTGCCCCCTGTTTTAGTTTTGCTAAGGGATGGTTCATTTCCTCATATATCTTTTCTTGTTTTTCATCAGCTTTTTTTGTAATAGGGGGTTTCCATCCTGAGTTGAGTGCTGCTCTCACCTCAGCAAGGGTTTCTTTTGTGGGTATGTAAGGCTTATTTTTCACCTGATCATCTTTACATGAGGTGGGTGGTTTCGTGAGTAAGAAGGTTCTCATCCTTCTTTCTATGATATTTTTTTTATTTGTCTATGAAATCCAACAGCAGCAATGGGGATGAGAAGAAGAAGGAAAAGGAGGTATATCAAGTTGTTTGATTTTCCCGATGTATTTCCCGATGTTCCCGATGTTCCCGATGTAATTCCCGATGTATTTCCCGGTGTTCCCGATGTAATTCCCGATGTTCCCGATGTAATTCCCGATGGTGTCGGTGTAAATCCCGATGTTCCCGATGTAATTCCCGATGTAATTCCCGATGTTGTCGGTGTTGTCGGTGTAAATCCCGATGTTCCCGATGTAATTCCCGATGTTGTCGGTGTTGTCGGTGTAAATCCCGATGTTCCCGATGTAATTCCCGATGTAATTCCCGATGTTGTCGGTGTTGTCGGTGGTATCGGTGTTGTCGGTGGTGTCGGTGTTGTCGGTGGTGTCGGTGTTGTCGGTGGTACAGATGCTGCTGGTACATTAATAGGTGGACTAAGATGTGTAAGCGGAACACAAATCCAGAATGAATTTTCTTCCCAACATTTGTTTATTACCAACCCATTCACTCTGACACAATGAGCTAGAAAAGCAATTCCTATCAAGATCATAAATTTGTTCATTCTTACTCTATCATAAACCGTTTTCTTTCTCCCCATCAGACTATACTAGTTACATCAAAGGTTGAAGGTGATTTTGGTAGATTGATCGTACCAAGCACATCTGGTAATGGCATCGGATTAAAATCTAACCTAGGCTGATGTTGTAAATTTCTTGGATCATTTTCAGGGTCAACACTCATCGAACAGCTGGAACGTTTTATGAGATATACAACAGCACCAACTATAGGAATAACAATCAGAGATAAAAGATAAAGATTGGGGTCTGTCAAATGAGGGTTATCCCCGTTTACTGGTTTCGTCTGATCGTAAGGGGGTTGTGTAGTGATATGGTCTGTTGGTGGTGATGTTTCACTAGGGATGTCAACCGGAGTTGGTCTTTCACTTTGGATGACAGTAGGAGGTTTCGTTGTCAAACAGAGTCCATCCTTATCCAACGGATCAAGAATACAACCAAGAGTAAATGGTAGCATGGTCAACAGTATTAACAAATGAGGTATTTCCATTTTTTTATCTACATATAGTTAAGATTTTCAGTACTCATGATAAACCAGCTCCCATTCATCAATGAGATTGTATCCACTCACAGTTGGTAATGTCAATGTGTTGTTGATGAAGGTCAGATATGCCGTTGTTATATCATGTTCAGTAATGTATCGGATTACCGCTTTTTCTCCCAACACATCTCGATATGATAGATGAAAACGTCTTCTGCTACCACTTGTTTCTTGACCGACTATGAAGAGATCCTCAATGACAATCAGTTTGTTGGTTGGACTTTTGTAAATAGGAAAGACATGAAGTGTGGCTTCTGGTGGAGTGGTTGATGAGCTCGGGATGATATTCTTCATTTTTT